TGACTTAAACAGAATTCGGATTACTTCAATCGGAATTTCTAGATCGTTCATATTCGACCAGATATTTGGTTAATTCAACCAAACCTTTTTTTTCGTATTGTATTCAATTTTATTTCTTATGCATTTTTGTTGCACTTGTTGACGATAAGAGTGAAAACATTAAAAAACTATAAACTGACCGTCAAAGTGGGCCAAAATGAAAAATATGATCTAAATATTTTTTGTACTTCTACATTTGTCCCAAATTAGAAAGAAATCGGAGTGTAACTTTTTGGTAGGTTTACTTGTAAGTAACTTGTGTGTGTGTGTGTGTGTATGTGTGTGTGTGTGTGTGTGTGTGTGTGTGTAACATAAAGATAGTATTTTTTTCTGTTACTTAATGCTTATATAAAAATGTCCACAATATTAAAAAAATATATACTATACATTTGTCTCATTTTTATCGTTTAGATGAGCGCGACGATCAGCTTGTCGCTCGAAGTTATCCGACATTGCAAGAGTCACGAGGATACCCTGAACGCCTTCCTGTCAGCGTCTACGTCGGTGATCAGTATATCGAAGCTGCTCTTGCATCGCCTGAATTGGAGGCATAAGCTCATCCTGGTGGAACACATCATTCACGATTGGACCTTTGTGAAGGACGATTCTTCGCGCGACATCATGCTGAAATATGCGCGCAGGGGTCGGTTCGGCGCCATGTTATTCCTTTCCCTCGGCTTCACCTCTTGCGTGTTTCTCTTTTCCTCGCTTCTGTTCGGCGACATGAAGATGCCATGGGATGACTACGAAGAACAGATTTACAACAACACGCATGAGAGAAGGCTGCTTCTGGCTGCGTACTGCGTTTTCGGCACATACACGTCCTTCACCTACGGCCTCATCGAGATCCTGCAGTCGCTGCAGATCCTTGTCAACTGCATTTCGCAGTGCGGGAACGACGGGTTCTTCTTCGATCTCACGATGCACGTGTGCGGACAATTCGAGATTCTCAGGACGGATTTCGCCGCGATGGACTGCGAGAAATTGCTTTACCGTGTCCAACTTGTCAACCTGTTAAAGAGGCATTATCGCCTCATTTATATGGCACATCATCTGAAAAAGGCATTCGATGCGGTGATCTTGGCGCAACTTTTCATGAGCGTCATGCTCCTGTGCGTCGAAGGTAAATTTTAGTTGGCGTAAATTACAGTCGGATTTATTCTTGCGCGAAAAACTTCAATCTAATGCTGATCATGTCCACTCCCAGGTAGCACAGAGAATTAAAAAAGAATTCAGTAGTATGTTACCAATTCTGAGTTCATTTTTAGGTGCAAAAAGAATTCTTTTTCGTGTTTGCACTGGCAGTCGTTACGTTTACTCGTTGATATACATCAACACAAACATATTTACCTTCCCAGATAACATAATGTCTAAAATCGGGACGTCTTAAAGATCATCTTTAAGATGTTTTCCAGACGCATAAATGTCTTTAAGACGTCTTAAAGATTATCTTTAACCCCTTGTCCACAACTTTGTTTTAATCTTTAAGTCGTAAGATATTGACCAACCACAGTTAATTATTTTTAAAATAATCGACTGCGGTTGGTCAATTTCTTACGACTTAAAAATTAAAGCAAGGTTGTGGACAAGGGGTAAGACGTCTTATGTTCTAATTTTAGATATTATGTTGTCTGGGTCACTATAAAAAATTAAAATAAATAACAACAAATAAGAAAAAAATAATAGAAATTAATAAAAATGAGAAAAAAACATTAAAAATATCTCAATTTCTTCATGTTGCAATATTCTTTTCTATTAAGAAATTATATTGTTTTTACGTAATTTTTATTATATTTACATCGCACTTTCACTTTTCACTCTAACTGAACTGAACTTTGAAGAATCCTTTTTGCGTGTGAAAATGAATTCAGAAATGGTGACATACGACTAAATTCTTTTTGAATTCTCTGTGCTATCCGGGCTGCTATTTTGTTTCTAGGATTTCAATTGCTCCTTACGCTCGCAACGAACGAGACATTCGCTGCTATGAGACATATGCTTTTCATCGTCGTACTGCTCGTGCAACTCTTCATTTACTGCTTCGCCGGACAAACGTTGGAATCTGAATCGGAGGAACTCGCCTACGCGATCTATAGGTCGCCGTGGTATTGTTTCGACGTAGACACAATGAAGAATTTACCATTAATGATCCTTCGAGCGACTAGTCCTCATCAGTTGACCGCGGGAAAATTCCTAGTGATAAATTTCGTAAGTTTCAAGGAGATTCTTAAGGCTTCCGCTTCGTACTTATCCGTACTGAGGGTAATGTTAGACACTTAAATAGTATCTTTTTTTTAAGAAAGAGAAAAACTAAAATATATATTTTAGTTCTTCTCTTGTATACTTATTCGTGCCATTCTATTATCGACATGAGCTATAACATGACTCAATAATAGTTCGACAAAAATTCTCGCAATAGTAATTTTGGTCAAATCGAAAATTTCGCAAAAGAAGGTGCGATGTAAATTTAGTACTAAGAATTACGTAAAAACAATATAATTTCTTGATAGAAGAGAATATTGCAACATAAAGAAATTGAGATATTTTTACTCATTTTTATTAATTTCTATTATTTTTTCTTATTTGTTGTTATTTTAATGTTTTATGGTGAGGTAAATACGTTTGCGTTGATGGATATCAACGAGTAAACGTAACGATTGCTAGTGCAAACACAAATCAAGTATTAGTCTGATGGAAACAGATGTGAGTGTTTCGTAAGTGAATAGAAACTTAGGTGAATCCACCACACGCGTTATACTATTATCATAATCATTGGCGAGCTTCGACAAACTCACAAAACAACATCAAATATTGAAAATCGTTAAACGTTATACAATATTCAGGATTCATGGGGGGTAAGTTAATCTTTTTTTAATTAAGTTAAATTTAAAGCTAATGGCTCAAATTAACTTAGGGGCCTATTCTAACGTTCAATGATATCGTTATCTATTGCTGCGCAGTTATTTCATGATATAAAAAATCTGCGCAATGATACATAACGATGTCGTTAAAAGTTATAAAATATACCTTTTAGTCACGCTAAAAACTAATATAAACAAAGGAAAACTTAATTAAAAGTTAAGTTAAAATTAAATTATTGAAATTAAAAGTAATTATATATACATAAAACAATGTTTTTTTATATAATTAACTTTTTAATTGTAAATTAAATTTATATAAAATAACGAAAAGATAGTTTTTTATGAGAAAATATTGACTATTTGGTGCTCAGAATCCTATAAAAAAAAAGAACATTAATGTTCAGAAAAAAAAAATCCTATTATTTTTGATTTTTCTTATTTCACATTATAATATCCTAATAAACACATTACATTTGTGTGATACTTGAGGCTTTCGTAGATATACTCGATATATGTTAACATTTCCTTAAAAAACGTAACCATCTATAATATTTTTAGATCACTGGAAAAAGACGACAGATCATAGACAATATAAAAATCTATGATATTATATTATCTATATATAATAAAATGATTCATTAAATTGTGTGTTTGTGTGTGTGAAATCATGTTTATAAAAAAAATAATCACATTTATGTCAAGTTAAGTGTAACAAAATTCGATATATTGTTAAAATTGACCACTTTGCTTAAACATGTGTAACAAAGTCTAATAAAAAGTTTCTACGCTAATATATGTCTGAATATATTTTCATCTTAAACTTTATTGAACACCACTTTCCTTATACCTCCGGGACTTAAATTACAAATAGGCCTCGGGATAATCGACGAGACATATACGTTAACAAACACATACATACAAATGTTGTTTAAGATTTTTGGATACTTAGTCATATTCACATTCAATTACTTTCGTGTCGCCGGCCTATCGTTTATCGTATGAAAGTATTACTTCTTATATGCCAAGCTGAATAGAAAATGAAAAGTACATACGGACATTTTTAATTCGATTCATTCAATATTTAATGATCATGCTACAGTTCTCTCGAACGGACGATATTCTCACCGCAATTAACGTTACGACTGACAGTTTCGTGTTCGCATGTGATATCGTATAAGAAAATTGTACTATATATTTTAATTCCCATTCAAGCGTAATGCGATGGTGGCACCGTTAAATCCTGCAGGACGGCCAATTGCTCTTCCGTGAAACTCTGCGCGTGACCATTCATGCCTGTCCAGCTGTCGTAATGTGTTCTCTTGAAATCGCTCAGTGTTTTTCTTATTGTCATCTACAAATAGAGTGCTCGCATTACAAAAGTTATATCGGTAATAAAACATTAATACACAGAGCGCATCGATAAAGATTGTCATTTGAAATATGTAACATGCTTGGAATAATAACTGAAATAACTTGAAGCGAGTTGTTTATAAATACAAGGAGCTAATTATTACTGAATCATTCTGATTGTGATTGTTTTACAGAGATTAAAATATATGTTTTAAGATTGGAAATATATCACTTTAAAGGCACATTGCTACAGATCACTGAATTCGTATTTTTATTAGTCGCAGTACTTAAAAATCCGAAGTCATTTTGGTATCTCGAAAAATATAAGACATGAAAAAAGTAAAATGCTTTTGTTTGATGACTCCCCATCGAATGAGATTTATATTATAATAAATAAGTTATTTTAGATGAAAGAGAAAGAGAGAAAGAAAGGGGGAGAGAGAGTTTTTAATGAATTGCTTATATGTACATATTAAAAATAGAATGTATAAAAAATTGCGAAAGCGGTGAAATTACCGGTATAGGCTGCGGATCGTTCATGTGAAGGCCAAGATGTTCAAAGATCGGCGGTACGTATTTCGGCACGTCGTACGGATGAGCACGAATGAAAGCGCATAGTCCGAGGACACCAGCATGACGTATACGTATCGCGTCGATTTTCGCATTTCTCGATGCATTCTCGTCGCCGTGATTGTTCTTCTTATGTAATCGAGTTTTCGCCTTTCTCTTGAACTCCTCCTGAAACCAAAACGCCGTGGCGATGGTACTGATGGTGCGTCCGCCAGAGCGTGATAGAGTTTGAAATAGTTCTCAGTTTTCGACTCACCAATAACTTTCCTTGATCCTCAATAAACGTGCAGTGCAACAGTCCACCAAGCACCTGACTGGCCTTCTCTCTAACCTCTAAACGCTCATCTTCCAACAAGTGTAGAACGATACTCTTGACGCTGTCGACCCATGATACGTTACTAAGAATTATGCCCATATTGTGAAAAACTAACACTTGAAGAAACTCCAAGCTGGTGAATCTGGCCGACCACGACGTGTGTTCGGATATCGTCTTCACCGAGGTCAGCGCTATCGGCATATCCTCCGGCAATGTAAACGCTTGCGCAAGATACGCCAAAGTGCATAAACATGATTTACTAAGCTCCTCATCCGTCTCTGAACTTTCCAATTGACATATAATCGGGAATATCTGATAAAATCCTGGCCTCGCGCCGTACTGCGAACGCAACAAGCTAACAGTGATCCACTTGCAGACGGTTTTTAGCAATCTTCTAGGCACTTCTTGCTCTTCCGTCTTCAATGTCTCCACGCACAATGAATTTTCTTTCGTTTCGTCGAACGACACACTAGCCACTTTCTCCAACAAACTATCTTCTCTTTCGTGATTACGCAATTTGTCATTGGTTGTATCCTCTACAAGTCGTTCTAATATCGGCACGACCTTATCGATCAGAGTTTGCATACGTGGAGTCGCTGTGTCATGTGAACTGTGCGAAAATCTAAGATCAATGTCGAACACAGTAGCCAGTATCGATCCCAGACGCATCCTCACGTTCTGAAACGGGTTGGTTAGTAATCTGTTCTCCAGGCGCATCAACAAACGCTGCAGTAACTCGTTCACCCGCCATAGCTGTTGACTCAAAACGGTTTGCAGTACATATAGACGACTGCACTCCACGAATGAAGACTCTGAATCTTTCAAAGGCGCCTCCTCCATCAAACACTCCAACAGCCAATGATGTCTGTTCGGATCCCGACGTTGTTGCACTGTCCCGAAACATAAACCCCAGTCCACGACGGTCTCTTCTGTCACATTCGAGAGCGCGGTTCTCACGATGGGTAATAATGACTGCCACATTTCGCATGTCATCTGAAACGGCCAGTGCTTGGCACCTCTGATAATGCCAGCTGTAATTTCTGCGACGCATCGTTGGCTGCTCTCGTGCTTATCCGTTACCAATCTTTGCAAATGCGGCAGGAAATGCTTCAGATGCACGATACCGTGATTGCGAAACAGACCTTTGAATAGAAAGCTCCTGTACGTGCTGAATTTGTCCTTGCCTTTCTTCTCCTCCAGGCTCAGATAGCTTATTAACTTCTTGATGTTCTGCGGATCGTTGAAGAAGAGATCGACTTCCCTCTCACAGTCCGTTAACTCACGCACTTCCGGATCGAGGCAGGGTTGTTGAGACGAAGGAGCGTACACTTCTAAAGTTTTCGGCCAAACGTAATAGCCGATGCATGGCATATGAACGTATCTAGGCTCGTCCCATTGCTCGGCAGTCAACGGACGAGTCTTGTAATCGTACTGAAGCCAAGAATTGTCCGCTCTTATTCCGGGTGTGATAATTTGCGACTGTTCCTCCTCGTTTACGGTCTTTTGCGACAAGCTACGCACATCAACTGTTATCTAGAAGAAACGTATGTTTTAATATACACGCATATTTTTTTATATTAAGCAAGATAAAATTTCTGTGGACATGCATTATCTCGAAAAGTTAAAATCCCAAAATCGAGAAACTAGAACAATTTCCCGAAAAATCATAACATCAAAATCCGAGTACCACGACAGTATCACGAAATATTGAGTATATAATAAGTAATTATGTAATAATAAGTGTAATCTTGTATTCAAACGTGTAGATATTAATACACTCCGCTGTACTAGACAATTTCAATACTTCGATGAAATTGTCTCGGTATTCGAATTTCGATATTATTACTTTTCAGAAAATTGTTCAAATTTCAGTACATTTTTTCGGAACAACGCATGCCCAACAAAATTTTAGAAAAAAAATGTTTATATAAATGACGTATTTGTACCTTCGGATGTTTTCGTTTTTGCTGCCTTAACATAAACACCACTATCTTGATAGCGATCTTCCTCTCCTCCAAGGAATCATGTACGAGCGCTTGTAGAAAATAACGTACTATCTTCGCGGGATAGATCTTATCCGGATGTACCAAGTCCCGGATGAAACTCATCGCCATTAATCTGTGTCGCCAGTGTAAGGATTCTTCGAGTATGCAACGTAACAATTCGTCGAGCAGACCATTGTACGCTGCCAGATTAAATTCACCGAGTTGCTTCAAGTTCCGCACACCTTCCTGTATCTCGTCTTCACTGGGTTGCGGCAGAGCCGGTCGTGGAAAGTGATCCCACAATGCGCGCGCAGCCGTCAGACACGAGTCGGGCACCTCGAGCTCGATAGTGGGTGTAACAAAACATTTACTTACAGTATTTACAATATCTTCTTTCAGTCGGATCACAGAAAGTTTCTCGGATGGCTTGGAGAGTACGATAGCTGGCCACAATGGTCGCAATATGCTCCAGTATTGTACTGTGATTATGGGATCATTTTGCGGTCCGAATAACATGTACAAAACACCCTACGATTGAACAGTTTCAGATTGTAACGTAGATAATGCATATTTATTTGCACATAGAGGACCATTATTTTTAAACATCGTTACCTTATATGCGTCATGATGCTTCTCGGTATCTTTCGCCAGAATATCGATAAGATGGGGCACTATAAATGTGAAAGAATATGGAAAACAGTTAAGGGCAGAGAAGAGGCTTGCTTGTGCTTTCAAACGCACGTCCGCGTATCTGCTTATGGCAAGCGTGAACAACTCCAACATTATCCGCTTGTGAGTCTCCGTCAAGGCAACTGATTGTGAGAGTAGTCGTGCTTCGTGCTGGATGTCACAACGCTCCAATATTATGGGACCTATTCGGCACTTATTCTCCACCAATTTATCTTCGAACATCTTTTTTGCCGCTTGGAAATTCTTCCGTCTCTCTTCGTGCGACTCGCGCAATCGTATTTTATTCAGTAACAGACTAGTCCAAATCTAGAATTTTAATTTTAACGCTTGTTAACATTTTGTATAGAAAAAATGCAGGATTTCTAACAATATTATATTAAATCGAAAAGAAAACTTCTTAACGTAAAACTTCATATAGATATTATACATATTGCAGAAACTTTGTTGTGTGCGCATAAATCAACATTGAAATCTTCACGCATGAAGTTGGATTATTTTAGTTTCCCAATAAGAAAAAACATTACAAAGAAATAAATTACACACTCTGGAAAGTTAATTTCATGTGTAAAAACTAACTCCAATGTCGGTTCGTGTACACGCACCCGTATTAATACAAAGAAACTTTTCGTATTGTCTTCCGCATTTTCAAGCATTGCCCGTTGAACCTCGCTCATGACTCCAGCGAGATAATGCCTAACGTTGTCTCCATCAGGCATCGTGATGTGACCCTTCATTCCGCACGTAGGCATCACAGGTGTCCACTTTAAAGAAGACTTCACTAATTCGAGCGGCGTTTCCTTCCACACCGGTAGAACAGATTCGCAACCTCTGATAATGCTGCATACGATATTCAGACAGACGAACAGCTCATCCCTACAGTCATTTATCCACGCACGTGTTATCATTGCAGACAATTTTGATATAAACAATATAATATGTGAAAATCACGTTGACTGACCTAGTTAATGTACTAGAATCTGCACAATAGCGTTTGAGTTTCTCGATCGGAGCTGTTAAATATCTTGAGAATATTCGTTGTATAGTAGCGATCTCTTCCGCGCCGGGAGTGTACCATTTGATATGGAACTTGTGGATATCTATACTTTGACCCCAATCCCTGACGTAGGGGTAATTGGGATCGTTGTAGTCTTTCGTGGTAGACTTATACTGGTACAGAGTGATTGTCGACAATGACGTGAGAATGCACTTTAATAAGTGGCAGGCTAACTTATTCCCATTTGTCGACTTCATTAGCAGGACGTAATCAAGGACCTTCGACAACGTGTCCATATGCGGTAACAGATTATTGCCCGGCGTGTCGACAACCGCAGTCAATATAAGCATGGCGTGCAGAAGTCGATGATCCAAGTTTTCCTCCTTCAACACGTCCTCTCCCTCGCCAACCGCGGGCAAGATCGTTTGCGCTAGAACAGGTACCAACGCGCGCAACGTGTCGCGTCCGTTAAAACGAGAGAAACTCTTGCACACGCCCGCCGCCAGCTGACCGGCCACTTTGGTCTCGAGGATTCGTTCAGTTATGAACGTGCGCAACTTGTGCAAAGCGCTTTCGAAGATCGTGTCGCTAGTCTCGATCAAGAGGGTCGTGCATACTCCGGAAAGTGCTGTCTCCGCCACCGATTCCAGCTTACTCTTCAGATCATTGTCACGACTTTCAGGCCGTACGTACTCCAAAGAACTGGAGTCTATGAACATGAACACTCTGTCCAAGAACTGCAGTACAAAATCCTCGAAGCGCGACGTCGCTTCGCAAATCATCCTCTCCTCCTCGGTCATGTCCGCGGTCGACCTCGAGGAATCCACGATGGGAATCATCGTGGCGTAAACGGAAATAAGACGGAACGTGGCTAAACACTTTGCGAAATCGTTCGGATCGATCCCGGGTAAGGACGAGAACAGAAGCGGCAGTACGTGCGTTGGTCCATCCGGATAGGTGTAATCTGCAACCGTAAGGCAAAATTGTATAAGACCGTAAATTGTATAAAACCGTAAAATTGTATAAGACAGGTATGCGCATATATACATATGTGTATCTCTCTGTGCGTATGTGTGTAAGATAGAAATCAAGGTTACATCGTAGGCTCCAAGATTCTGTCTATGCGGATTATTTACGTATTTTTTACGTAACGTATACACAGTTGTTTTTTATGTAGACAATGTAAAATACGTACGTTAATTTTGCGGTCATTTATTGATTATTAGAACGAAAGGAAAATGTTCAGATTACTTTATAGATACGTTCGATCGACTGCAAGTATCATTTTGTACATATATCTTTTTATTTCTATATATTTTGCAAGAATTTTTTCGTTTCTGTAGCCCTATTCTGTAATTCGTTATTGGAATTAACGACAGTTTCGTTATCGTTGCGTAGCTTTTGTATACCGTAGAAAAGCTGCGCAACGATAACGAAACTATCGTTAACTCCAATAACGAGTTATAGAATCTCAGCGTCATAAATCAAGATGATGTGGCGAGAACGCAAAAGTCTCAAACGACATCCATAAATTACTTATTGCCTACATACATAGTTTACATTGTCTGTATACATAAAGATATTACAATTGATGCGTAAAAACCCAACTCTGATAACAATATAAGTCTCGTACCTTTGTTTATGTTTCTAGAGCCCTGCACCATCGGTCTAGCAACGGCTACCATACAAATCATCGAAGCTGTAAGTTTATGGGGTTCTGTTAGGGAATCGAATGTAGAATACATCCGTTCTAACATATCTGGTATCACTAGATTCGGTCTCATAGTAGCGAGGTACTGTAGAGCATCGCAAGCATCGTTCACGCCAAACTTGCTGAACATAGCTGTCATGGCTACCGGCATCATACTTTTCACGAAGGCATCGATGTCGCTATCGGTTAATTTATGATTATCAGGAATTGGAGTTTCCCATGTTGGCTTGGCATATCTCTCTCTGAAATCAAAATATGTACTTATGTCGTGAACTATAAGTGACAAATAAAAACTATGATTTCAGTCATATATATTACGCATCCACATACTTGTGTAGGCGTAAGATAAAATGATATGGAAGTTTGATAAGAAGTTCTTTCAACTTTCCTATCCATCGTCCAAAGTTTGCTGGATAAAAATATGTTTCTATAGTTTTCAGAAATTTTTCCAAGTACATTTGTGCACTTGAACCATTCCCCTATAATATAATTAATACAAATATATGTGTATATATCTCTCTTTGCAATATATCTCTTTATTTACACATTCATTATAAAATAATATACAATCTTACCAAAACTGCTATTATCCACATAGATATTGGTGTTACTTCCATCTTGTGAAGTCTGCCGGTGGGTTTTTGCTTGTATGTCACTGGTAGATTTAAGCACCGTATAAATCTGGTAAACATCAAGGGAAAATGTGGCTCCCAATCGATATATCCAATATTGAAAGATGCTAATCTTGCCATTATCCACATCATATCATTCTCCCACTGCGGTGCATTATGACACACTTTCCACATAGTCATAAACTCGTCGAACCATAACTGATGTCCGATGGAATGATGCTTGGGAGGTAATTGCAACGGTAAAAAACACTCTAAAGTTTGAAGGCCTATGCACATTGTGTACCCATCAAACGGACAGAACGTTGGTCTTAATTCGTCTAATATTTCTTGTGTAGCACTCAACTGTCACAATAACATTGTTAAATATATAATTAATAATATACTGAATCTGGAAATTTTTTTTTGTTTAAGAAACATTAATCCTTACAGGGAAATAAGGCTTTATAGCACGGATTAAGCACCGTAATATATTGGTGACCCATGCTGGATCACGATATATTCCTGCTGAAACTATTGAGCGGCCCTTTAAAGGATGTGCTAATTCATATAGAGGTCTCCACGGAAGTTCTAACTCATCAGGACTAATTAATTCTTTTCTCCTGAAAGAAAAAATAAAATTGTATGAATCTAATTATTTGATGTAGCTCAGCTATTAGCTCAATTATTAGCTGAGCTACATCAAATTCTATTCCATAAGAAAATAATTTTGCAGCAGAAATCTGTTCACTTTGATCATATCTTTACCACAATCCTGCCGAATCGTATGTCAACTGTATACAAAGTGCTCATATCATTGCGTGATATCACTGGCAACACACCATGTATCAATATCATATTGTTCTGATCCAAAAATAAAATCATTTCTATGTTTACTCTTGCTCTTCTACCTTCTGCCAAAATCGAGCTCATTCTCTCATGGAATAGGTTTTCCAGTCACAGCTTATGATATTAAAATAATACAGGCTTTAACCAACAGCTTTTTGGAAGTATATTGTAGAACTTTTTAAGCAAAACATCTAACATATAAGTTTAATCAATAATCCTTATGTTCTACTTACTTTAATAGCGAGATCAATATAGAGCCAAATTTATCAATAAGCTTTGGATCTAGATCTGGTATAGTAATGAGCTCATACATTAATTTAACAAATACTATATGGTCTTCTTTGCTGAACTTCATTCCATATAAGTATGTATATCTGAAAAATATTCCATACAATTCAATATATTGAAATTATATAAATTAACATATATCACTGAAAAGAGAAATTTGATTCAAAGAGAGAGGAAAACCATAACACTACTTACTTGTATAATCTAGCAGCCCACAGAGAGCACCCTGGCCTGATTTCGCGAAGCATAATCGCACGTCCCAAATTCTCCTTGATTTCGGCGAGCCATATCTGCGATTCCGCGTCGAGCTCATCCGCGTAGGGCAATAATTTATTATACACCAATTCTTTTTGGGGACGAAAGCCCAGATTCCTACCGTGCGATTGCATCGTCGAATTGTCTTCCGTGTTGGGTTTGCACTCGTCAACCATGGTATTTCCGTGTTGATATCGCGCACCGAAAATGAACGAAAGAGTTGACTAGCTGTGTTGGGCAGCGTCAAATCTGATATAGTGCGGTATCATGTGCACGGTTGAGTCAGTGACAACTTGCTTATTCGAACTCATTTTCATCGAGTCATCTTTCACATCTCAGAAGCCATTTTTGATTTGCGCGAATTCAACTTGCGAAATAGCTGTCGTCACGATGCGCCGAGAGCTACACTCAGGCTGCGTTCCGAAATTCACTGCCAGTACTGAAATTCTATAATATACGTAACATAAACTATAGATTTTCAGTACTGGCAGTGCATTTCGGAACGCTTCATGGCTCTCATAGCCAGCGTGATATGCGACGCGCGATATCCAATGAACGTACAGTTTTTGCGGAATACTAGTATGCTTATTGGATATCGCTCATCGCTTATCGTGTGTCATGTCGCGCATCGCGCTGGCTGTGAGAGCCATCAGGCAGCCTCAGGCAGCCTCAGGATACCATTACATGAAGTGCGGAAACGCGGAAGACAAAATCTTTCTAGATCCGCTACGCGTTCCGCGTCTGTTTTGATTGCCTCATGGCTTCTGCACACAGGACGCGGTAATAACCTTCTGCTCTTACAGAAAAACAACATATTGATTGGCTGTCGCGCGGACTTTCGCCGCGCGGCAAGCATTACCGCGTCCTGTGTGGAGCTATTATATTACATGAGGCGTATTTTGAGCGGAAAAGCGGTATAGGGAATTATAAAATATTAATTTTTAACGGTATTTATTAATTAAAATGCTTGTATTCAACAGATAAGCTAAAAAGATAAACATATTAGTAAAAATTGCAGTAAATTAAGTTAATACAATCTTAAAAAATGAATACAGATGTTTATTTGTCACCAAACCGTTCCGCCTTTCCGCGCAAATTGTGCTCCATGTAAGGCTGCGTTCAGATTCCCCACCCGGGTGTATTCTATTACTGGGTGTTTACGATAATTCGAGTTGGAGTTAGTACGAGTTAGTTTCACTAGAGCCGAAAAATATGATAGGCACAAGCATCTAGTATTTTCATGATTCATGACAACTCAATGCTGTCCGATAAATCGAGTAGAGTTAGGATAACATAGTGGATAGTATATGTATAAGAATTAACAATATCAGGTAACATAGTTTCGTAAAATATATAACAATAATATTACGAATCAATGAGTTGTTACATTTTAGAAAAATTAGAAGCACTAAATTAAATTATGAAAAGATATCATGTATTTGTAAAATATTCAAAAGTAGAAAACAATTATTCTAACCTATTATTAATCTGTTATTATTGAATATTTCACAAATACATGATATCTTTTCATAATTTAATTTAGTGCTTCTAATTTTTCTAAAATGTAATAAATCATTGTTTCGTAATATTATTGTTATATATTTTACGAAACTATGTTACCTGATACTGTTAATTCATATACTATCCGCTATACTACCCTAACTCTACTCTACTCGATTTATCGGACAGCATTGAGTTGTCATAAATCATGAAAATATTAGATGTTGTATCTATCATATTTCTCGGCTCTGGTGAAACTAACTCGTACTTACTCCAACTCGAATTATCGTAAACAGCCACTAAAAGTGCTATAGTATATGTAACATATACTATAATGTTTCTAGTAATAAAGTGCACCCGGATGAGGAATCTGAACGCACCCTAATATAAGAAGAAATAAAGTCGCGGAACAAGTGCGGAAAAATTCATTCAAGTTGTTACAAGTTATCACAAATTGTTCAACCTAACTGCCGTTACATTAAGACGTGTCAAATACGTTCGGACCTGATATTTATTTGAAATTCATACCTTGGGGTGCGTTCAGATTCCTCATCCGAGTGCACTCTATTACTAGAAACACTATAATATATGTGACATATACTATAGCACTTCTAGTAATAGAATACACCCGGGTGGGGAATCTGAACGCAGCCTTGGATGAAAAGACAATAGAGAAAAGTTTTGGGCCTTCTGCTTTTCCGCTTTTTCAACGTACAGGAAAAAATGATTCAATTCGCGGAACGCGGAAATCTAGTAAGATTTTGTCTTCCGCATTTCCGCGTTTCCGCGCTTCATGTAATGGCACCCTGAAGGATTGAAAATCCGTACAATGAAAACTGCGGAACGTTCGTGATTGGTTCCGCTCTCGTTCCGCGCTCCGCTATTCCGCTGCATGGGTTCGCACTCTCAATCTCCAATTCGTAGTCTGATTCCGGCTTTACGCACATAAACATTATTTGTGGCATTTTGAGTGTTTAAAAATAATTAATAAGAGACAAAGAGAAGAGAAAAAAACAAAGTGCGGCACTTTTAATTACTTTATTAGCAAGGCTGCGTTCGGAAACGTCATCCAAGTGTACCCGTTGCGTTGGAGTGAGCGAAATACAAGAGTGAGATAAAAAGAGAGGGAAAGTATTCGAGTGACGTTTTCGAACGCAACCCAACAGAAGTTGCTTGGGATATTTTTTTTCACAATTTATTTATTGGTTTGTTCTTTCGTTCTGCACTGCTGCACTGGTGCGCTAAGTTAGAGTGAAATAAATATATATTTATATTTTTTACTCTAACTTATTGCACCAGTGCAGCAGTGCAGGCAAAAGAACAGACCTAATAACTTTTAATGTTAAAAATATTTTTGTTAGTAGTTTTCTACTATTAATATTATCACTACCACTTTTTCGATGTAAATCGGTCTTTACTAGACGCACAAATTCCAATTAAAATGTTTTTCCTCTTCGTCAAGACCAGATAGACAAACTTATATACAACTTTTACAACATTAACATACAAAATTAACATACAACATTAACATACAAAATCTTCAAGACCTAGAGGCTGCAATCTTCTCCAATAACTTTACCTTTATCAATCCCCTTCTATCTTTCCTAAAAAAAACAAATCAAAACCTATAAATTCCTTCCTAATAGTCTTTCTTCATGTGTGGTAAAAGAGCCACTGAGTATAGGCCTGGAATCAGAGAGAGAGAGAGAGAGAGAGAGAGAGAGAGAGAGAGAGATTTAAATGTTTTAAAATAATAATAAAAAAAAAACTAATAAGTAAGAAATAATAAATATATAAAACAGCAGTATATAAATTATATATTGCACGTAACCTAAAAAATGTAGCTTGTGTTCCGATTTTTTTTTAAATGGTCGAAGCACAATTTGAGAACCTCTGCACTGCTCGGCGCTTGACTTCAGTCTATTAGCGTCTGTTCCATGATAAGAATATAAATCGGATTTCAAGCGTGACATTTGAAGTGTCAGTTGTACGTCACATTTCGAGATTATTGCTGAATCGTGGGATCTTGCTGCCAACGTGGCCGGCTGCGCAAAATAGCATATGTGACTGAAAAATAAAAGTAATTACATAAATGGATATCGATGTGTACGCGGTACGACGGTGATTTCTGCAGTAAAATAAAACCGCTTGAAGTGGCACGTAAGTGGCAAGTTGAAGTTCTGGCAAAGATCAAATTTATGAGGGTTATCATTCTGTTATTCTGTTATAGAAAGTGTTCATTGAAAACTCAAGCATGCTCCTTAACATGTAGTCGCTTGTGACGATAACCTGAAATAGGTTAAGATCGGATAGATTTTTTTTTTTTAATACTATACTCAATCACAATTTATGCGAGCTGTCACAAAAATAGTGCTAACGAAGGAGAAATTCGCGACAATGAGGGCTAGAAGGAATCTTGCCATCTTTATAGTGATCATGTTTCTTGTCTGCTGTGTGTTGATCTATCAAATGATGGATCTGACACTTTTTCCACCTGGGCAGAGTTCTAAGCTTTCCATAAATGATGTAAGTTTATGTAGAAAAATATTGTTTTATATATATATGTATTATATATACATATCTAAGAGATCAGGAATGATTGTGATCAGCAGAGAATAAAGTTACTTTGCAACCATTATAAAATTTATAAATCTGATTGGTGTATTCTTCAAAATTCAGTCAAGATTATATGTGGATTAAAAGCATAATTAAATTCAAAATTAAAAGCATAATCATCAATTTTACATTTAGCAAAGTAGCATTATCTGCACAGTCATTGATATACTGTACAATATAAAAACTATGTTTTTCTTTTAGAATCAGTGGCTTCATTTTGAGGATAGACTTGCAAAATTAGAAAAGGACTTTGACAAACATCATAAAGTCATGAATGCTCTGCAGGAGGCAGCAAAAGTCAAACACAATTTAGTACCAAATATGCAATCAGTCAGCCACATAAATCATTCTGACACAATGATTTCACGTTCAGGAAAAAGCCTCACGTGTAATTTCAATATACGAAAAGTTCCAGAGGTTGACATACAAATGCTGGAAATGTATAAGCAATTAGAATTTGATAATCCAGATGGTGGAGTCTGGAAGCAAGGCTGGAACATTATGTATGACGAGAAGCAATGGCATCCTAACAGAAAATTGAAGGTCTTTGTTGTACCTCATTCACACAACGATCCTGGATGGTTAAATACATTTGAGAAATATTATACTTTTCAAACAAGGAGCATATTAAATAACATGGTAACCAAACTAGGTGAGGACAGAAGGCGCAAGTTCATTTGGGCAGAGATATCGTTCTTGAAACTTTGGTGGGAGGACCAGTCCAAAGCAATACAGGATGAAGTACGTCGTTTGATACACGATGGACAATTGGAGATTGTGTCTGGAGGATGGGTAATGCCAGATGAATCCGTGTCCCATTGGATAGCTCAGCTTACACAATTGACTGAAGGTCACCAGTGGCTAAAATATAATTTGGATTACACACCAAATTCAGGATGGGCTATTGATCCTTTCGGCCTATCTCCTACCATGCCATACCTTTTAAAGGGATCAGGCTTGGAGAACCTCTTAATACAGAGAGTTCATTACTCAGTGAAGAAGAAACTAGCTAGGGATAAAAATCTAGAATTTCGTTGGCGACAATTGTGGGACAATGACGGCTCCACAGAACTGTTTACTCACTGTATGCCGTTTTACAGCTATGATGTTCCGCACACGTGCGGGCCGGATCCGAAAGTGTGCTGCCAATTTGACTTCTACAGAATGCAGAACTTTGGTCTTAGCTGTCCATGGAAGGTTCCACCGAAAACTATAACCAAGGCGAATGTGGCTGAACGGGCTTTACTCTTGCTAGATCAGTACCGTAAAAAAGCACAGCTTTATAAAACTGATGTGGTGCTAGCGCCTTTGGGCGACGACTTCAGATACACACATCTCACTGAGTGGGAAGCCCAATACGACAATTATCAGAGACTCTTCAACTATATGAATGAAAATCAGCACTTGAACGTCCAAATACAATTTGGCACTCTGAGCGATTATTTCGACGCGGTCAGGGAAAAACGCAGTTTAAGCGAATTTCCAACTCTGTCCGGCGACTTCTTCACATATTCTGACAGAGATGATCATTATTGGAGCGGCTATTATACTTCCAGGTATGTAATAATGTAACCTTTTTCCAAAAATGTTCATTGAATAAAGAATATAATTTTTCGATCCATTCTAGGCCTTTTCACAAACGACTGGATCGCGTATTGCTGGGTTCTTTAAGAGGCTCAGAAGCATTGGCTGCTATAGCTTGGGCTAAAGGCAACGACCAGCTAGTGGAGGGGAACCTCGCGTCTCGTCTAAGTAAGGCCAGAATGTGGCATTCTCTGTTTCAGCATCATGACGGAATCACTGGAACTGCTAGAGACAATGTTGTTATCGATTATGCCCAGAAAACGATAACCGCATTGAATAACTCGGCTCACGTGCTTCAACAATCCATAGCGCATTTATTGAAAACTCCACAAATTGCACCCATAGATTTGGAAGCTACATATTTCTCATTAGATGAAACCAGGTGTGAGAATAAATTTCACACAATCAACGTTCTATACGTATGGTGATGTAATGCATAATTATTTTTTGTAGGTTACATCACACCAGTGCGGGTGAAAAGCATGTCCTTAGTCTTGGAGCCGACAGTCCTTCAAGGAAAATCATTTTCTACAATTCTCTCCCGAGGCAGAGGACGAAAGTACAAACTTTGATTGTGTCGACGCCGTTTGTCAAAGTTACGGATCGAAGAGGACAGATTGTCAGATGTCAAATATCGCCCGTTTGGATCGGCCCAGCTGCATTGTCGGCGGCTAGATATGAACTGTCCTTTTTAGTCACTGTACCAGGATTTGGTATTACTACATACGTGGTTCACGCTTTGCACAAAGCGTCGTATACTAGGTAAACGATAATTTTTTTTGTACAATATTTGAATGATTTTCATATACTATATCGCACAAGATTCAAGATAAGATTCCAAGATATTCACATACGTCTTTCTTCTAAAAACAGAGAAGTGTTTCCAGCCAACGTTACTATCTTCAACACCGACATCAACAGTTTTCTGTCGGTACCCGGTTTTAGTCATTTGACGGTTTTACCGCATACGCAGGAATTCTCAATCACTCAACTGCCGGAATTATCAGCCTCTTTCGGCAAGTCCGGTCTGTTGAAAGCGTTGAGAGTCGGCAATTCCACGTTTCCTGTACACTTAGACTTCGTGAAGTACGGCACCAGGGGTTCCGGCAAGGACAAAAGCGGCGCGTATCTATTCCTGCCCGATAAACCGGAACCAGATCTGGTATTTGTGGACAGCAGGACAATCGTTCATTTAGTGACTGGTCCTGTTCTGTCAAAAGTGTTTATAGAACTGTCGCATGTGCGGCATACCTGTACGCTGTTCAATTCGCCGGGCAGCGATGGACTTGGATTACATATACTCAATGAAGTCGACATAACCGAAACACAAAACTATGAACTCGCGATGCGCCTGAATACCGACATCGCATCCGGTGATCAATTTTTCACCGATTTGAACGGACTCAACGTAAGTATCTTGAAATGACAAACCTAGAACTTACACTTTTTATCAATTTATTTGGCCAGCATTGTTATATTTTCTATTAAAATAGAGTTGCGATAATGCGCACCTTGCTCGATTGATTTCAGATGATCAGAAGACAGAGATTTCCTAAGCTCCCCACGCAAGGCAATTACTATCCCATGGCAGCGAGCGCATACATAGAAGATAAGAGAGTCAGATTAACAGTTGCTACAGCGCAGCCGTTAGGAGTAGCCTCTATGGCGTCTGGTCAACTCGAGGTAAATCAGTAAACTTTATCTTGTTAGGAATTTGACACATAAACGTAAAAACATTAATACATAACAAAAATTGACAAAATGATTTCTGGCGGATGATAAGTTTCTTCAGGAAAATTTACTGAGACATAGATTGAATGTAATATATAATATTTTAAAAAAATTCTTATGAATAGATTGTACAATACATAATAGATTCTAAGCAGAGCTTTACAAATAGATTATGCAAGACAGAAGATTGCTTCAAGATGACAATCGAGGGTTGGGACAAGGTGTAATGGACAACCTGTTAACAAACCATATGTTCACGTTAATTTTGGAGAAGAAAGAGACGAACTGTCCCTCCACAGTACCACCAGCAAATCATCCCGCGGGACTGTTGTCCTTGAGTGGTCATCTGGCATTGGAAGAGTTACTGCATCCAGTGGTAGCGTTGCATCCTCACAACTCTCTGCCATTCGATCTGCATGCGCATTTCTCGCCGCTTCGATACGATCTTCCAGTAGACTTAAGCATCATTAGTCTTCGAGTATTTCCGATACCCGAGGGCGCCGGCAAAGGTATCGGTATGGTGTTGCATCAACCTGCCTTAGATATGTGTTTCAACAATCCTCTCCTACGACACTTCAACGTCTCGGAATCGGGCGAGATCGACTTAACGAAATTTCTCAATGACATGGAAGACTGGACGATAAGCAAAGCGCCCCTAACGTTCCACAATGTTGGACCATCTCTGAAGTCGCCCGTTATAAACTTGTGTCCACATCAAATACTACCAATTTTGTTTCACAAGACGCAGTCTTAATCAGGAAGAAAGTATTTAGCATAAGTAAGTATTGCTTTCTATTTATCCGCGTAAATTTTGTTTACTCAAGATCATGTAATCCAACTTCGCCGAAGCAGGTGGGCTCGTATGGTCTAATTTGTATCTGTAACAACATTAGATATGATTCAATAATGGATTGGATTGGATAATTATTCGTTTTAACGGACATAGCTCCGATTATTTTGATATATACACTCAAAGATAAAGATATGATGATGGCAACTATATAAGGGACAACTACACGAGTTATATATAATATATATAATATATATATATATATATATATATATATATATATATATATATATATATATAACTCGTGTTATATATACATATATATTATATATGTAATATTATATAATATATATTATACATATAATTTATTACATTATATATAATTCTACATGTAGGACTTGTGTAGTTGTATAATTGTAATGTATATATATAGTTTAATAAACTATATACATTAATTCTACATACAAAATTTATAATTGTTCTATATATATAGTTGCTGTTACTATATTTTCCTTTGAATGTATCATGTATGTTATAGAAAACATCTTTTTCAGTAATCTTTTTAGTAACAAAAAGTTAATTTAGTAAATTTATAACATCGTGCGATATGCATCGATGTCTCAATTTAGAATAAAAAGACATCAAATTTTACTTAGGGGTCTTTGTTGATCTTTTCAGCATCTATTATTTTAGCATAAAATAAACTTATCAGTTTAGTACTACAAAAGATTTAAACTGAATATATCCATAAATATAAATTTTTTGTTTCCAAATATTTCTCCGAGAAAATATATTTATATCATGTTTAGATTTACTAATGTTGTTATTCCATTGTTAATGATTTTTTAGTAAATAAAAACTGACGGCTAAAATTTACTAGAAATTTGTTAGGAAGACGTCTTCGATGTATATCGACATAAATCAAAGTTAAGATTATCAGGCTGTATTCGTTAAAACGAATAATTATTTTAATAATTGGATTGTGTTATCTTAATTGAAAATTTCACTCACATAGTCTTACATGCTATAATGTATATAAATTATGTAACTTAAATTGCAATTATACATTTAGTTATGCATTTCACTATGTTGTAACTTAAACACAGTCAAACTGAATCGAAAGACCCACTTTTCTTAAAATTACACATGTGATGTGTATTTAAGATATGTGTGTATGTATGTATGTGCGTGCGCGCGTGTGTATGTTGCGAGAAGATTTCAATATATTGTAATTTAATCGACTAATTATTTTTGTCGTTAACTTCTCTTAATAGTTCTTATAGCGAAACGCAATATAGAAGTAAATAATAGCATAATTTTAGTCTACCTCGTGCATTAATAATTATTACCTAAAGCAACAAAAATTTTAAGAACAAAATTATCATTTGTTTGTAATAACTTTTTTATTTTATTGACTAATTTTATTTTTATTGTGATTTATATTTGATATTTCATTTATGTCAATTATATAGATACTCAATGATTCCTGTGATTTAGTAAATCTTTTAATTGGTAGGTCTACAATAAAGAATGTAATCCTAATATTTTATGTATGTGCATTTAGTTTTGAAAAAGTATTTTCTTGACATTAAATAGGCTGCATTATGACTCAAGATACTATTAAAAATTTAAAGTGACTGAATATATTGTGAATAAGTAAAACGAAAACGGCACGTATTCTCACCATATATTTAACAACTCTAACTTTTTGAGCCTTCTGTTTGTCATACAAAAAGAACCACTTCAATATAAATACAAAATATTATATTCAGAGTAGGTAACTTGAGTGAGAATACGGACCAATGTAATAGAATTTCTTTATCAGAATAAATAATTTAATACTAGTCAATTATAGATCGTGAAAATAGATATGATTTACAATTTTATATGCTTCTGTACTACATTGTACATAAACTATTAGGAACATTAAACAATTTTAAAACAAATGTATACATGTAAATGACTACAAGATATCATTTATGTACAATGTAGCACAAAGACTTTTAACAATTAATAATGATCAAAGATATTACTAATGATGTGAATGCTGATATTTGCATTAGTACTTGTAGAGTTCTCCTTACCCAAGGGCAAAGAAAAATTGTATTGCCGTTGGATTGTGCGCGAAAACAGTCAAGACAACTTTTTGCATTTGGTTCTGACTTGCCATAGATTCCAAGGCCGACATCATAAAACGGCCAAGTCCTTTGCGCCTGATCAATGGCTCTAATTGTAACTCGTAACTACACATGTAAATACTTAATTTTTTTCTAGACACACTCAGAGTTTTATTTTTGATTACCTTACATGTGTTATACATACCAATATAACACCACATCACCATGGTCAATGTCAAATCGAAAATGTGAAAATCCTAGAAATGTATTGTTACACGATGCTACCAGGTACCAAGCTGTTTCCTCTGTCAGTTCTGCTTGTTTCTCAGCCGCATCCCAGCCCCAACTAGATCGCTTATACATATCTTTCACATTTCTCTCCATAATATCAAAAATCCAAGAGAGACATTCTGACTGTGCATTCTTAGCCCTGGTGCAAGAGATTTTTATCACATCGTCATTCTTTGTAACGTACTCATGAAACTCGGGCAGAGTATCCAAAGGATTGCTCAATGTGTTCGCTTTGTTGATCAGCAGCTGCTGTGCTGCAGTCTTTTCTGCCAAAATCTGACGTCTCGTTTTTCTGGCTTTTCTCTATACAAAAATGGAACGTAGAAGATAATTGAAACCTGAATTCTCTTTCTTGTTCTGGTGGAAATATTTAGAATGTGATTAGAGACAAACCTTCATGATTGATTCGAATTCTAAGTTTCCCGCCTAATTTGGTTTAAACGTTGCTCGATTATGTGCATGCAATATTTTGTGTAACTATTTTCCCTAGTATTTTATCACACAACTGTAACGATAGAAAAACAATAAATGAATAGATTTATAATGAAACAAAAGATATAATCACAATTTAGTTAGCATATTTTTATCTGTTCACCGAACCGCCTAACCAATTACTCTCACTTTACGTTTCAGTTCATACCTTCATATATTTAAAGCTTAAAATTCAAAACACTTGCGATAGTATAACAACTGTTTAGAAAGTAAACTGTCCTCACGTTGCTTTTCACGTCGTATTCAGAAACTCGTATTTTACTGTTTTCAATTTCACTTGCACGACCATAAACAAAAGGATTTACTATTTTCTTAATGAACTTCAGAACGCATTGGGTGCATTCAGTACTACAACCGCTCACTGAGCGCTCAGTGAGCTCTTACATTTGATTGGTATATATTTTGAGATCTAAAAGAATATGCCAATGGGATGTAAGAGCTCAGTGAGCGATTATAAGGCCTGTTCTTTGTAGTTGCACTGCTGAACTGGTGCAATATATTGAAGTGAAACAAATATACGTTTTCTCACTCTAACTTATTGCACTAGTTCAGTAGTGCAGCTACAAAGAACAGGCCTAACGTGAATGAGTGCATTTTGTCCAGTGATAGATAGTAGAAGTTTGTTCTTTTTAGTTGAATTGTATAAACTGGTGCACACTAGCGCAACTAGGTCTGTTCTTTTTAGCTGTTTGTAAAGTGTTTGGAAAATAATGGGGACTATTTTGAAAATTAACATGTTTTTATAAACAAATATCAAAATCATGCTAAAAGGACACCGAACCTATATGTACACCTAAAGGTCGTTCTACATTAGTTGCAAGTCGATTGCAACTCTTGTTGCGATAGCCAATCAGAAGCGTCAATAGCACAATTGATGCTTAAAGATCGTTCTACATTAGTTGCATGCCAATTGTAAACAGACGCAATTCTTATTGCGACAACCAATCAGAAGCATTAATGGTGCTATTGACGTTTCTGATTGGCTGTCACAACAAGAGTTGCAATCGACTTGCAACTAATGTAGAACGACCTTAATAGAACCAGTCTAAACTCTCAAACAAAAAACGTGAGAAAACTTAAGATGAGAGTCCAATGATCCGTATCCGTAAATCCATAAACAAAATCGAGTCGTGATTGGTCATGATATATACCAAACAAGTCCTCTAACAGATGTTTCGCATAAACTCTATATTTTCCCTATATTTTCCTTAAAGTTGGTAATGTTGGGGTATTGACTAAATAAATCAATAATGAGCACTGATACAGTCCGTAAAGTAGATTTGTATATACGTCATTGGTCGAAATCTAATCTTCAATCCGCAATCCTCAATTTCCAATCCGTAGTGTGACACGGAGTGTTTACGTTAAATCGAGTACGAGTTAGTTTCACTAGGGTCGAAAAATGTAATAGGCACAACCATCTTCATGGTTCAAGACAACTCAGTACTGTTTTCCGATGCTCGAGTAGAGTTAGTTAGAGTTAGCTAGAATAGCGGATAACGTGAGCATCAAATAGTTGATTTTCAAAAAATGTTAGTTATTAATAAGTTTAATCCCATAGTATGTTTATACCGAACGTTTAATACGCGTACCAATTAGTAATTTTATGTTGAATTATTTTGATTTCGGCGATGCAATATATTCAATTAATACGATACGTGTTTCTAATCTATATTGCACTACTTCAATATGACGTTGTTTATATACAACGCCGAAATCAAAATAATTCAACATAAAATTACTAATTGGTACGCGTATTAAACGTTCGGTATAAACATACTATATGGGATTAAACTTATTAATAACTAACATTTTTTGAAAATCAACTGCCTAATTCTTACGTTATCCGCTATGCTACTCTAGCTAACTTTAATAGCTCCTGCACTACTCGAGTAGAGTTAGTTATGGCTCCTGCACACAGGACGCGGTAATGCTTGCCGCGCGGCAGAAGTTCGCGCGACAGCCAATATCAATCAATATGCTGCTTTCCGTAATAACCTTTTAGCTCTTACGGAAAAACAACATATTGATTGGCTGTCGCGCGAACTTCTGCCGCGCGGCAATCATTACCGCGTCCTGTGTGCAGGAGCCATAACTAACTCTACTCGAGCATCGAAAAGCAATACTCAGTTATCCTGAACCATGAAGATACTAGATGGTTGTGCTTATTACATTTATCGACACTAGTGGAACTAACTCGTACTCGATTTATCGTAAACACCCACGGACTTTACGGCCATCATAAACTATGAAAATTTCCACATAGGCTGGTATTCATAGGCCGGTTATCATAGTCGAATCTCATTCGACATGTCAATCACAATCAAAACTTTAAAAAAAATGTCACATTTTGAAATATGGTGTGCCAAGTCTTGGCACACCATATTCAAAAATATGACATTTTTTTTGCAGTTCTGATACTCTCTTGAAAAGTTCTAGAGCTCT